TTGATTAATCGTTATTAAGGTTTTGAAACACCTTGAAATACTTTCTGGAAATTCTGGCTTTATCCACGAGCAGTCTGAAGAAAACTTACACAATTGCAAATTAAAGTAGATTATTGAATTATTCTTTGAAAATTTACGTTTATAAATAAAAATTGACTTTTGTTTCGACTTTCGATACGAAAGTAACGGAATCTTTGTGCTCCGGGTGGGTTTTTTTCTTAAGACAAATTTCGACTTTTTAACTAGCCTTTTTGACTTAATTTTATAAATATCATTCGAAAGATATTGTTGTCTTCAGCTTAAATGTGAAAATATATTTAACCTGTGATTATTTTTCGTAAAAGTATGGGGGTTTAAAGATTGCCATTTTGGCCAACTTGGGACAATTAACGCGCGATATATTTCTCGCTATTAACGCGTAAGTGGATATTTAATCCGTCATAGAAATCGTTCCAAATTGGTTGAAGTAAGCTTATTTGCCATAATTGATTTGTTACAAGGTGCGAAATCTTTTCTTTTGTAATTTTTATGGCGTGTGGGGGTATGATTTTCATTAAAAAATTCAAATTTAAAAGAAATTTCATTTTATTTATTACATTTAATTTTTTAAAATTATTGCTGCTCCATAAACCTTAAAAGGCACCCGGAACATTCAGGGCTTCGCTCTGATATGACCAGCCTTGTTAATTTTATGAAATGAAAGCTGAGAAAAAAACATTCGTTAAATAATGTATAGAAGAATCTCCTCTCTCGACTACTAACTCATTGGTATTGGGTCCCTCAAATTGATCTAAAAAACGTTCAACCAAATAATAACTCATATGAAGAAGATTCCCTCGTGCCAGCAAAAAAGTCCTGGAAAATCAGTCAGCGCTAAAGACTGTTTGCAGGACGCTGATTGGCCAGAAAGTTTTGCATGCGCGTTTGGTCTTTCTGTTTTCTACAGAAATCCCGTGATTTATTTTGACTTGTTAGGTCTGGACATTGCTACAAGAAGCTGGTTCGTTCTTAATCACAAACAGGCGGCGGCTGCTTTTTGAAACATTTTGATATTTACAATCTCAGACTTTTTCTCACTTTTTGAAGAAAGTGACCAAAAATTCGTGCTCGGGTAATTTCTTTTTCCCGTGTTCTCTCAAAACCCGTTTCCACTCAAAGTGGCTAGCGTGAATAGATCTAGCAAATCAAAAACGTCGGAAAGAGGGCTTCTTTAAGGAATATTGACCAAAAAATTGAGTTACACTTTTATAGGTCTGCCTCACTGTTACAAGATGCTGGTAGATCTGGGTCCGATGAGTCAGGACAAGGCGGTGGCTGCATGTGGCTACGAGGGAGGGGCAACTGTTGTCACGTTCGACAACCCAGGTGATGATGTGAGTAAACCACAGACAAGAAATCAAAGTTTTAAATTATCAGCTAATGACAATTGTTTCGTGTATTGAATACTTTTCCTAAATTTTGTCAACTTTTTTCGAAGATTTTCGATTGTAAAAAGAGTTTCCCCAAAACGTTTGACTACTGTTTTGAGTTATGAAAAGTGTGACAAAAATTTTATACATGGAAAGATTTGTTTTACTCAGTCAATTTTAAGAATTTGACAAAATTTTTTTTATAACAACTGTCATTTCAGGGGATCAAAAAACAAAAGCTATTTTGCCTGTGATCATTTTGTTTTAAATAATGGGGATTTTAAAAGGACCAATTTGGTCAATTTGGCATTTAAAATTACTAATTTGCAAAATTCATGATGTACAAACAATCTTGCTTGATACTTTGGAAATAGTTAGAAAATTTCAAAGCCTTTTCTTCTAATTTTTAGTTTTAATGGTAGTTATTGATAGTTGAACGTGGGATAGATTGTGTTCAAGCGTTTTTCATGTGGAACCTGAAACACAGACAAGACTGCTCGTACCAGAGCAAATATTTGAAAATTCCGAGCGGCCTATAATGTGTTCTATAAAAATTTTAATTAAAACTTGAAAAATTTGAACTTAAATAGATGAGATTAATTTTTAGAAGTTTACGGCACACCTAGTGATATTTACAAAGCGATTTTTTTCAATTATTAAGATCTTTTCGTATAACATAGCGGGCCAAAGTTTTATTTGATATGGTTCATGATAGCATCTTTTTGCCGCTTAAGCTGTATTAGAACGCAATAAATTGCACGTTAATTTTGCCAATTGGTCAAATTAGCCGTTGGTCAAAGAGTGCAAAAAAATTCTGTTTGAGCCACAATTTATCAATATCTTTTAGACTGTATGAAATTCCTTTAACATTTGTCATTTGCCAGTTGATGAGTGAAAATGTGTCTGAATAAAACCCGAGCGCAAATATTCCATAATTTTCATCAGATGTCGGTAAGAAAGACTTTGATTACTGGTGGGGTTATAAAGATTAAATTTGAACACATTAGAACTTTTTTGACCAGAATTGGGCTTGCAAAATCCAGTGACGAGGCACTTCTATTATTTGTCTATACTAATTGAAGTACTAACATACTTCGAAACTTGTGTCGGGTTTTCACTTTCTCTTTTGGAAGAAACTTGACATTCAGTTTTATGCCATGTATGGTTATCAAAAGTTACCATTTTGTGCTTCGGGTCAAAAACGTATTTGATTTGAGTTCAAAATTAGATTGATTTGTTTCGAATCCATTTGTACTGAAAGTTTTTTAACTCTTTTGCTCCTCTTCTGTTTATCTCATTTCATCTACACAGTTTGCTTAATTGCTGCTTTTTTGCTAACCTTGTCATTTTTTTGTTTTTGTAGCAAACGCTGCGGGATCATTTCTGGACGAAATATGAGAACGAGATTAATACAAGCCCGGCGTACCTGAAGGCGAGTGGCTTTTGGACAGGCTTCGTGCGCTTTTTCGGCAATAAACTCAACCCTTTCTTGAACATGTACACCGGGGACCCAATGAACGTGAACTTGTTCAAACCTGAACAGCCAGATGACCGAGGTGAGTCAAAATCAGTTTTACATGGTGTTTTTTGAATTTGAATAAAGTGTCGAAGTAAAAACGAAACCAAAGCGAGCAGAGTTTTTTTAACCAGCTGAAAATCGTGTATTTTTTTCGAATTACACATATTTTTGAAAAAAAACTTCTCCGAAATTTGTTACAGGATTTTTTGTTTTTTGGATGTTTTACATGTTAGCTGGTTAAAAATTCAGCTGTTTTATATATTACTATCCTAATTGCGTCCAAATAAGTATTTTTTTAGCAGCGACGTTTGCGAAAAACCTGCACTAGTTTGCAAAAATTTGCCCTAGTTTTCTTATGTCTTCTGTTTTCTCATTCAATATGATTTTTTTTACCATAAATTTGAAGTGTTTTATCAAACAAACGATTGGTACCTTAAAACTGGAACGTGTATACTTTTTAATCCCAAAAATTGTTTGTATTGCATGCTTGCACATGTTTTCAAAGAACGTAGGCTCAGTTAGAAAACATAATAAAAAGATGGGTGAAATCCATAAATTTGATCTAAAAACTGAAGTCTCTTGACACAATCGTTGCAATTTTTAGTTTATAAGTAATGAAAAGAAAGAAAGTTTTGTCACTTTTTCTCCCGTTTTCTCTGCAACTAGTAGATTCAGGGTAGAAGTGCTGACTTATGATGGATGGAGCTGCTTGATAGAATATAGCTGTACAAAGTCATAGAAAGTGTGTCTTTTTTAAGGTCTCTTCACATAAATTGCCTTTTCACAAAAAAGAACTAAAAAAACCTGTTTGATTTTTGGACAGAAATTGACTGAGAATTCAGTATCTTATCTGTTTGAATGCCAAGAATCGGGGTTAGATTTTAATTTGTAGCTAAGTAGTTGTCTGTATTCTTCCATCAGTTAGATAAAAACTATATGAGGGCCTAAATTAGATCTTCAGCTTTACAAGGAGTACTTTCATATCCAAAATTTCAAGTTGGTTCTGCAGCAGAAAACTTCGCTAACTCCTTCTAATCAAATGATCAAATGACGCCCGGAAAACAAACTTTTACCGGCAGTACGCAGAGTGTCATCGTTAAAATTTGTATTACTATTAGAATAGAAAATATGCAAAAAAGCTTATCTGAGTTACCTAAATCAAGCAAATGAAATTCAATGTCAACTTGAAAAAAAAATGAATAAGATGTTTGAAAATGCACTCAATCATTTTTTTTTACATTGAGCTCCAACCAGTTTCATGACATTTCTTAATGGATCCATTATTATTAAGTTGTAAGGAAAATATGCAAACTTTCATTTGGTGAACATAGAGGCGTTAAAAATTGGTTAAATTAAACATTAAACTTGCCGTTTTATCGGAAACTTCTGAATTATTTTTAAAATTTGCAAATTTCAAAAATTAGAACTTGCGACTTCGTTTTGGAAGTGATCTTCATCATTAAAAATATATACTTAAGAAAAAACTTTTATCCAATATTCTCCTATTACTATAGATTTGTTTTGTGAAAATCAACTATGAAAAAAATCTTGAAAATCACAATGATCTAGAGCGATGAAATTTTCCCTCGGCTTCTTAAAATGAAGTAGTCCGTCGACTGCAAAGTTCTCTCAAATGGACCAAGCTTACATCTACCCAATGCCGTTTGGGGGATGTTAACTTGGTTCTAAGTTGAGAGTTTTCAGCCAATCAGAATCGAGCATTTTACAAGCAGCGCTTAGCAAATTTAATTAAGGATGTTAACTTGGTTTTCGAAAAAATGTTTGAAGCCGTGTTTTTGGCTGTTTAGTTTTGGGCACGAAAGAAGAGGAAGCTTGTGTGAGTCGGGAAGAATACGGCAATAAGGTTGACTTCATACGGGGAAGGGATGCCGGCGTTACTGGTTTGGATGACTACACTTGTGGTTTCCCCAATTGGGTCATCTGCATGCGTTAGTACCACTTAATATCTTTTGCAGTTAGCTTCAAAATCCTCTTCTGAAAAGAATCTGACCAAAATTATTGAGCCTATTTAGAGAGTTGCGATACTTGGAACAGATAAAATTACTTAAAAAGAGCAACTCACCTATTTAATTATGTCTGTTGTAATTTTTTGCTACTAAGTCTAATTGCTTAATTTAAAGTTAGATTCGAGAAAAGAATAAGTAGAATTCAGTGGAGACGTAATTTTACCGCTTTTTCTTAAGAAATCTAGCTTCACTCAGATCACGTGACTGCATATAATTTTGTGCATGTAGCTCAGAGGTTAAAAAACCACCTGTCCAACAAAAATTTCAGTTGGAAGTTGGCGCGATAACCTTTTTTTAAGTAACGCCAAATCATTACAAACTGATTACTTTTTAAGTTAAGCTAACTTTCAAAAACTTGTTGAAAAGCTTTGTCAACCTTTTTTAAGTTGACTAAATTTATTTTTCGAGCTGTCCCAGTGTACTAAAAAGACCCTGTTTTGGCCAAATTTTCTGCACCCCTGGCATAATTTTGAAAAAAAAAACCAGCCAAAAAGGAGTTTTTGAGCACTTTTTGGAAAATTTGGACCAAAAATAGCGTTTTTTCGGCGCGCGCTTTACCTTCAAAATTAATAAAAATTGGCGCCTGTCGAAAAGTTATAGGGTCTGGCAGCCAACAATGGATATCTCCATTTTGTACAAAGGGAACCTTTGAGCCGACAGGGGGTCAAATCCCTAAATCCGCCGGTGCTTGTCACGTCCAAAACACCAGTAATGGGCCATTCATCTCAATCGAATATCGCATTTTTTGTATGCTGTACAGACCAATGTAAAGCAAATGATTTTTTTAACTGGCCAAACATATGTACACGCCGTCAAATTTTAAAAAAATTGTGTTTGTAGATTAAAACTCTTGCTTTTCAGTATGGGACTTGAAAGACAGTAATGCTTATAGAAACGCACAAAATTAAGTTGAAAATTATCATATTTTAAACTTTGAGTTTTCTTATTATCGGTCGACAATGTAAGTGCAGAGAAAAAAAAGCACCCTCCCCCTCCCCTCCCCCAGTGCTCTTAAATTTGGCATGTAAACATTTTGGCATAATTTGACAACTTTTTGTACATATTTGCTATGTCAAATTTGTGTGAGATTCTCATTTAAAAGAAAAAATATTTTTCACGAAGAATTTACGAAATTTTTATTTCTTTGTGATGTTCTAAATGTCGTTTTTTTCCGAATTCTTACTAAATTGTTTTGAGTGGAAAGTACATGGTAAGTTTTTTTCCTTCCAAAATATTTGAAAACCAACCAATCATAACCAAGGGCGGATCCAGGATTTTCTCGGAGAGATGGGAGGATTCACAAAAACGGATCAAAAAGTTGGACTGGCTTTGTAGGTTGATTCAAAAAGAAAAATTGAGCTCTCTTAATGCTCCACAATCACCGTATTTTGAAGAAAAACGTTCAAAAAAATTAGTCAAAAGCCGTATGGGAATTTCTTGAAAAATGCGTCTTTTGGCAGCACTTACCCTTTAAAAGTGTGTATTGGTGCCAAAGACGCCACTGGAAAATTTTGGGGATCAGTCAGCGAAACAGATATGTCATAAAACAGTTCCGAAATGGGGCACTCTTTTGATGGCGAGGGGTCAAATATCTGAGGAAAAGAGGGTCCACCCCACCCCCTAAATCCAAACCTGAACATAACAAATCTTAACCCCCTGCTGTAAGTACCAAACTAAAAGTTGAAAAAGCACCTTTTTATACATTCACATGAAAATCTAGTTTTTGATTTTGAATGCGAAATGACTGAAATAAATTGTAACAGGATCTTTTTGTATAGAGCGCAATATTTACATGCTAAATATGCACGCTTGGAACTCTGCTTTGATGTATGGAGTGAAGATGCCTAAAGACGGGACCTGTCAGCTGGATTGGACAGACCAGAACTACTACCAGCTGACAATGATGAAAGACAAGCGATTGGAGAAGAATCGGCCTGGTGCTCAGGAACTCGCCGACAGCTACATGAGTAAGCCGAATTATCCCGATTATAACATGCTAATAACTAGTAAATAATAACCAGTCCGATAAAAAACTAAATCAATGGTTAAATAACTGCGGATTGTTTACCTAGTAACGTTACCCCTTTTTGCAATAGGCGATGTAATCTTAGAAAATTAATTGTTACTTATGGCCTATTGAGGTTTTACTGCTACCCGGGTTGAGGTGTTTCGTCTTTCTCGACTGTCTCGGATATTTTGACTGCGCTCGACGTATGTTTCGGCTTTCTCAACCAAAATTGGGTATGTTTCGACTTTGTGCTTGGCTGAAATTGTTTCTCGACCACAAAATTTCAGTCTCAAAACTGCACTTGCTCAATTTGAGAAGTCGAAGCGTAAGTACCCGGGTAGTTTTCTTCATTTTTTCATGGCTACTGTCAATATATTGCTTTGTTTTCAATGGTGCTCTGATCTGTTCACGTGAAATCATGGTTGTTTCAGAAATTCTCAACGACGGCGCAATCAAATCGCCTTCTTGTCCGCAGTGAAAACATGACAGTTTGACGGGACATTTTTGCTTCCGCACAATGAAGAACTATTGAAAAGATTAATAAAAATCAATCATCAATAGTTGTTAGACTGGCAACTGGAAATATAGTTATTGCACAGGAATGAAGGGTCTTATTCATTTTTGTTCCTGCCAAGCTGAAAAAGTGTGAAGGGACTATGGTAGGTGCAAGGGTATATAAGTGGGTTTTGTGGGTTTTGAACCTAAGTGGGTTTTGTCCTTAGGGTGAACTTATGTTATCCTCCCTATTGCGAAAAGGGTTTAAAATTTGACTCTAGATATAAAGTGCTGATTTAAATTACCCGGACAGAACAAATAAACTTGAAAGTTAAAATGCGTTTTTCTCACATTGAGTTAATTTTAGATACCATTTGATGAAGACCAATCTGCTTTAAGTTTTCACAGAAACAGTTTTTTGCAATTTGTTTTGCAACATTTACAAAAATTCGCCCAAAAACTATCATATTTGGCTTTTTTGGTCAATCAAAAAATACTCCTAAAAACAATTTGTTCATTTATTGACAAAATAAAACAGTGCAAGCCTCTTATGTAGCCCAATTGAGGAAGTATAAGTTTCTCATTTTGTTTAAAAAGACATTATTTTAGTTTGATAGCCAAAAAATAAAAATTTTACTTTATAAAACACTAATTTTAAAAACCTTTTGCGCCCGTTTTTGGAGATTATACCTTTGATAAATTTTGTTGGGCTGCATAAGAGGCTTGCAATGATTTAGTTTCGTCATTAACTAAAAAAAATAGGCTTGGAGAAAATTTTGGTTGACTAAAAAGCCAAAAGTTGTTAAGTTTTGGGGTAAATTTTCGGGTAAACTTTGCACAAAAATGCACCATAAAAATTCTGTCAAAAATTAAAGCAAGATTAGCCTTCATCATTTTTGTCTAAAATCAACCCAAATTGAGAAAACGTTATTTAAATGTCAAGTTTTATTCGTTGTGTCCGGATAATTTAAATCATCACTGTAGTATTTGCATATGCGTTGGCTTAGTCCCCTCTTGCTTTTACTAAATAGTGGGCGATTGTGGGGTCTAGCTAATGATATAGTCAATTTTAAAACCTTTTATTTGGGAAATTTCAAAAATTTTGGAATCATCATTTCTCAATCAAGCTATGGAATTCAATTGTTTAATCAGCCAGTTTTCAGCGATTGGAAAAGTTGACCAAAACTAATTATTATTTTTACCTATAATCAAATCATCACATTTGTATAACTAATTTCAAAACCATTTCGAAAAAAATGTTGGAAAACATTAAAAGAAGAATATTTGCATACATTTTAAAAGTCGGACGCTTTATTGCTCTTTTATTTGATTTTTTTATTAGAAAATTACTGAAATATTGCCTCGTTTTTAATCATCACAGTTATAATTATCTCGAAACCTTTTGAAAAACTTCGCTGAAAAAAAATAAAAATGTTGCATACATTTTAAAAGTTGCATACATGAATTTGATTTCAATCTTTATGAAAACTTTTCATTAATAATTTTAAGGAGATATCAGTGAAAGTTTGAAAAACATAAAACCTCTTACGTATCTTATGTATATTTTGCCAAAATTTAGGCACGCTGATCGGCAGAAGTTCTGTGCAAAAACGTGGAACGCTCTCTTTTTGTTAGATTTCATCAAATAAACACAAAAACAATGAATTTTTAATCCTCAAATCAATTACTAATCTTGGCCATAAACCTGGACATGATTCAATGGCCTCAATCGGGTGTGAATCATAAACTTTTAATGTAACAAATCTTTATGACTAAAAGGATGCTTAGGGTGTTTTCGTATACCAAGAATATTTATGGTCACTTGTCACGAAAAAAAAAACAAATCTTTCAATCACATAAGTTGAAAAAATTTTTTGTTCATCGTTATTTCCGTCCATATTTGTTCCGTCCGTTGAAAATGTGGAGGGACTTTGTATTTCGGCGTGTTTTAGTCTTTTTTTCCACGCAAAATCAGGCACCACAAATATATATCGGACTGGGTTGAGTAATATATCATATTAAAGCTCCTTTAGTCGGGAGTCGAAAAACTTCAAAAAATTTTTCAAAATTTTTTTCTGGTCTCGAGAAAAACTAGTTCGAAACTTTTGATTTTTCGTCTTAATTCGAGCGAATAATGCAAGTGAGCAGGCTCAAAACAGCTAAATTGTGCCTTATAAAAAACCCTAAAATTTAATTTTAAGCTAGTAAAACCAGTTGCACATTAACCGGCTAGCCTTTTTATGTTTTAGTTCTGGTCAGTCTTTGTCAAGAAACTTCAAGTTAAAAGCATGAATTTCTTTTTGTTTTTGATTAGAATAATTTTAATTTCATTTTAAAGCAAAGATGAGACATTTGGCTAATGGATTGCTCAAATAAACAAAATATCTTCATTAAGCCGCGAAAACAGTGCAAAATTGTCTCCGGTGGACAGAAAATGTTCACAGAAAAATCTTGATTGCGCAAACTCCCGACAAGTCTTTATTTGATTGATTAAAATTGCTTAATATTTTTTGGGTTGCTGAGGTCTCAAGATAAACATTTTGAGTGTTTTTGTTTGCGACATGCCCACTCTGAGTCTCATCATTTGCAAAAAAGGACGAACTGGCATCTAAGAAAAGTGAAAATAAATCAATATAATGGGTTTTTGTGGTTTAGAATGTTAAAATTCTAATCGCTTCCCATGTTACCCTTAGACAACAAAATGGAAAAAAAAAGATGAAAATCAATTGTTTTGATCAAATTTGAAGTTAATTATAATTCATTTAAAAATAATTAAATTGAAATTTTTTCCACTTTAATTTTGTTTCTTGTCTTGCAAATGATTTTTTTTTCATGTGAGTAAGGCAGAAAAATTGCAAAACGAATGCTTGGCCTACCTTTTTTTCATGCCTTTTATTCAAAATGCGAGAAAATTCCATCCCGTCCCGTTTGCTTTTTTTGTCACATACACCCGCCACCTTCTACCCCCACCAAAACCAAACCCTCCCAGTATTTAATTTTTTGATCTCCCCCAATTGTTTCGTAAGGTTTTGCTCATTTTCTTTTGAAAATACAGGTCAAAAAAGCCATTTTTGGAAGCATTTGGCCTAAGAAAATTTCGGTTGACAAAATGCTTATCAGACATTTTTTCTAGTAATATTGTACGATAAGCAATTTTTCCATAGAATCCATATATTTTTCTACAGACTTCATTTTAAATAAATGGATGTTAGCCCGGGAAGTAGGAGATACCACGTAACTACTTTGAAGCAAAACTGATGACAAAATCCATTGAGAGTATGCATGAAAATGTATAGAATTTTCGCGCTCTTTCTCAAGTGGTATCAACCTTTAATGAAAGTGCAGAAGACAATTGTTAACATATTTACAAAAATTTGTGCGTTTAAAAAATGATGCAAAATCATTATTGAGAGTCTTGATTAATTGTGGTTTGCGCAATTTGCAGAAGATGTACGAAAAGCTATCAGGCCTGTCTGAGCATAATCCAGCATACTCAAGGCCGTTTTTGTGTAGAACCTTTTTTGTGATACCACTGATTCTGCCGAGAAATATTTTACGAATAACAAAATAAGAAAACGAAAGAATTCAGCGTCAACCACCTGCAATAAACGACGTTGATTAAACCACCTGAGAGTGACATTGAATAAACAAACTGATTAAAAACTGATTAAGTCAAGAGGTTACTGTTCCGACAATTTTCGAAGAAAATGATGGACTAATTGTGCTCGGAGTGGTTTTTTCTCCAGACAATGTTCGCCTTTTTAAGAAGCAAATTTTGACAAAATTTTTAAAATATCAATCGAAAGGTATTGTGTACCTCAGATAAATTTTTAAAAGTTATTTCACCTGTGATAATTTTTTTTGAAGTTACAGGGGTCTTAAGATTGCCAGTTTGGCAAACTTGGGACAATTAAAGCCCGTTTTGACGTCATAATTATCGCTGTTTCAGGCCCTGATCAGAGGCACTTCTCCATGATCAGGACAACAACATGTAAATTGGAATTAGCGCTAAAACATCGTTAATCAGCGATAAAAATCACAACTTTCTCAGAGCGCCAAAATTTTGGAGTTACAGCTTAAAAATCTCTGAATAGCTATCGTCGCACTGAATTATCCATGATTCAGTGCTGCTATGAAGTTAAAACATGAGTACAGATGCAGCTCTGATTCATGCTACATAGCTGACTCGGGGACTCGGGGATGACGATCTCTGCGAGGTCAACCCGGACTCGTGATATATTTCGCGCTATTAACGCGTAAGCGGAGATTTAATCCGTTTAAAAATTCGTTCCAAATTGAAAAAATAAAAACATAACCTCATAAAAACCTGAAAATCTAATTTCATCGTCTACTTTAAATTGAAATACCCCAATGAAATTAAAATGCAGTCGGAACATTTAGGGCTGTATCCTGATACGAGCAGTTTTATTTACATACAAAGACAATAATTGGATAACAGATGACAGCATTGAAACAAAGAGTGCACCAAAAATTGTTGTTTCTCAGAGGAACATGACACAAAAATTTACTGTACGCCTGTCTACGATCATTTATAGAAACCTAATGAAACTGAAAATCAGGAGAAGAAAGTGTGACTTAATGCAGGGGCGGATCTAAGATTTTCAAAAAACTTTTGAAAATTTTGTCCACCTCATTTTGAGACCGACCAAGTTGATTTTCCGAGCTCTCCCAAATCACTATAAAGATCCGCGTTTGACGAGATTTTCTGCGCTGCAGGCAAATTTTTAGGCGTTTTTAGGCTTTTTTGGAAGTTTTTTTACCAAAAATATGCGTTTTTTTTGGCGCGCGCTCCCCCCTGAACTTAAGTATATTTTGGCGCCTTAGGCGCCTTTAGAAAAAATTAGGGTCAGTCAGCCAAAAATGGCTATCTCAAAAGAGTACAAAGGGGGCCTTTGGGTTGGCAGGGAGTCGAATAAGGCCAAATGAAGTGTGGTTGTCGCCCACTCCCAGACTGAGAGAAACGTTTCAATCCTCCATATGAGCAACAAGTTTTCTGTTTTTTTTTCGATATTTAGTTTATGTATGTCCCCGGTTTAGAATAGACGACATCAAATATTCTATAAAGAGACTTTTAAGGACGTGCGATTTTAACAAAATAACTGATTTGACTGGCTTATTCGGTTGAATACCCATTTAAATCTTATCAAGATGATGATTTAAAGAAATACAATTTTCCCCACTATCCTCTATTGTGTGGTTTCAATTGTTTTTTTTTTCAAAACAGCTGCGTTGCATTTTTTGTCTTCTCTCCGTTGTCATTAAGTTTGTCCATATTTTCGAAGGTGTATTACCGTAATGGCCTTGGTCTTCTGATCCCTGGCCTTCTGCTCAGCAATAACTTGCGCTATCTTCCACACGCCATCACCATTTATAAATAAGAGTGCAAAAAAAGAACATTTTCATAACGACAGAAAGGCTCGGATTGAGATATACCCTTTAAAAAAACTGTTCAATGAGCTGTTGTTCTCTAACTCCTCGGTGGACGCGAATTATAGCCCTTAATTTCAATCAAGAAAAACTAAACCAAAACACCTCATGCAAATTTAGTCGGGAAATTTAAAAAGCTTTCTGTCAATCCGAGCCTTTCTGTCGTTATGAAAATGTTCTTTTTTTGCACTCTTATTTATAAATGGTGATGGCGTGTGGAAGATAGCGCAAGTAATTGCTGATGAGCGGAAGGCCAGGGATCAGATCCAGGTGAGCATCAGGTAAATTGTCAATTGAACTTCACTGATATCTGGAAGCAAGAGTCAGTTTTTTGGTGCAATCAGCTGTACGGTGCTCTCGTTTTAAGTTTCTAGAAAAATTAGCTGGAATCAAGCACGGGTGAAAATGGTGTTACGAGCTAGCTGTAATTGCATGATTAGAGAGTTCAAACGAGACACCAAGCAACCGAAAAACGAAAAGTGTGCATTTAACCGATCACAATTGAAACTAAAAATTAGTTCATTTTTCTGCTCAAACTTGCTCAGTTTGAAAGTGCTCTTCAGCCTATTGAGATTTAATTGAACAATTGAACAATCAATCAAGTACACTTGTAATTTTATTAAAGTTATTATTGTTATAAATTCGCATAAAGCTTTCATTTTCACTTGATTTGCATTTGCAGCCGCTGACTTGAAAAAATTCAAAAACTATGAAGGTGTTTGGTTCGGCGGAGTTTTTATCAGCTGTGATTCTGGTGCTTTGCTGCATCCAGGCAAGCATGTAAGTGAATGGCTCTTTTTAACCCCCCCCCCCCTCTCACCTCGCATGAACATCATCTTTATGGTGCAACGAGTGGTTTTACAAGGTTAAGTATGAAGACCAAATGTGTTTGTTATAGCCTTATTAGTCAACCTGTCAGTTTTCAAAATAATCGGACAATAGGAAATAACTTTTATTTGAGAAAATTCGCAGATGAAGAGCCAAATAATAACCCAGTATGGGATTTGTGGGGGGTGGGGGGAGGGGTGCGACGGTGGGGTTCAATATACTGACCACTCAAAAGCCATTTTAATTTAAGGTGAACGATTGCTCAAACTTTTGATCAATTTATTTCAAAAGAATCTCCAAAACTTCACTTTAGCCTGTTTTTTTTTCAAAATAAGCTTATTTTTAATGAAAAATAAAAGTATTTTTAGAAAAAAACACCCTGTTTTCGCATCAAAAGAGGTTATTTTTGAGTTTTTTTCCAGAGCTTGAAAAATCGATTCAGTCGATCTTAAATCGTAAAAGAGACCGGGTCATGAATTTTATTTTAATTGGGTTTTTCTGATTATAACTCCCATCAATCATAAAAAAAAAACATTTTGATGTTTAAGTTTGATGCCTGCAATTTTAACCGGCTAATTTGAATTTTACAAGGGCGAAGAAACATCCGCGGTTCAAGAAGCGAGAAGAAGTCTTGACTTGTCAAGAGGGTAAGCTATAGTTCTCTACCACAAAAAAAATGTCGATATCGGATTAAAATTGAGAGATTTAGGCTGTTGGCAGGAGAAAACTTCCTTATTCAGCTGTCAGTCACAACTAAAAATTAAAAAATCGCGCCAAGTCTTTTTTAGAATGTTTCTGAAAAATTGAATTTGAATCTCGGCGCGCGCTCCTTTTTCAAAATTAATGTCGATTGACGCCGAACTTGCCTTTTAGAAATAGCTGACGTCAAATTGTACCACAGGGTACTTATTGGGCAACCTTAGCAACAATTAGGAGGGGGGAGGGGGCATTCCTTTTTTATCGGTATGTTAATATTCATCATGGTGCCTATTGCGCCAGAAAAAAATTGATATAGTTCACCCAAATTTGTTGTCGTTACACAGATCAAGGGGGTTCCAGATAAAAATAAGCAAAAAAAATTAACTTTTTCGTCGTATTTAGAAATAAATTCCGTTTTTTGTTTCAGAGTGTCTCCACGGATCTGAAAAAGTGCAAGGTGAGTAAATAATAAACGAACATTTTTTCAGCATGATTTTCTTCATATAGTTTTCAAAATTATTTCAAAAACTCCAAACGCTTGGAGTAAATTTATTTTATGATGTAACCTCCCCCTCCTCCCGTAGAGGCTAGCGTGAATGACGCTAGCAAGGAAGCCGGGAGATGGGTTGTCCAAAAGATTGAAGTTCCATATTTCTATAGGTCTGGACCATTGCTATAAAATGCTGGTTGATCTTGGCCCGGTGAGTCAGGATAAGGCTGTGGCTGCTTGTGGATTCGAGGGAGGGGCGACCGTTGTCACTTTCGACAACCCGGGTGATGCTGTGAGTATCAATAATCAAAACACAAACAAATATCTACCACGTGGATAAATCAAAAAGAAGCGGTTTTTAAAAACAAATCAGTTGCAGATTGATTTTTTTGCGATATACCAACTTTGCCAAATAATCCCGTAAACCGAAATGTCGCCAGGTTTTTAGCAACGTGTCTTTTGAGTAGAAATGAAAAAAACCAAAAAAAAACTGCATGTAGTTTTTAAACAGGGGCACAGCAGTGGCTCGCCGTGATGAGCTGTACAGCTCGTAAGTTGGTCCCTTCCCTAGTGGATAAATGGTCTTAAAAGTGTGTGCTGATACCATAATTAATGCCGCTACTTTTTAAACTAATAGCTTGTCGAAACTCGTTACCGCGGGTTCCTTATTTGTATGTGATTTCCGTTTGGTTCACTTATTTTAAGAAGAACAAAAGAATGTTAAAGATATCTGCGGTTTTGCAGCAAAAACTAAGGGATCATTTCTGGGACAAAAACCAAGACCAGATCCTCGCCAATCCTGCGTATCTGGATGACGGTGGGTTCTGGACTGGCTACGTGCGCTTCTTCGGAAATGAATCCAATCCATTCATGAATATGTACACCGGAGATCCAATGGACGTGAAGGATTTCCTTTCTGGACAGCCAGATGACCGGCGTCAGTCTAATTCAGAGTTCCAGGCCCCTCTTTATAACTTATAATTCTCATTGTTTTCGTCAAAAATTTTTCTGTTACATTCATTTTTCATATTTGAGGACTAACCTCGGGGTCCAAAAGGATCATTGCAAAATATCATGGTCAAAATTCTTGGAAAAATACTCCAAATTACTCGGAGAGCAAAAACAATCCTCGCCTCGATTTTTTTAGTCCATCATTAAAACTTATTCGGGTTTTTATTCAAGCGATACTGAATATTTCTTAATTGAGATGACGGTGCTCACTTGGTCTTCTTTTAAACATAGCGCGCTTTTCTCAAACCCCCCTCCCCCTCTGCTGAATATGCTATTCTTTTCACTGAAAGGCACGTATGGATCCCGACCAGCCTCCCGAATAGGCCGATTTGTTCGCTGACTGGCAGGTAGTATAGCCAGTAACTTCACTAATCACCAAAATCTGATTGCGTTCCTCGTTTTTAGTTCTCACAAAGGACTCAGGCGAGGCTTGTGTGAGCAGGAAAGAGTTCCACAATGAGGATCTGAAGTGGAATGGCGACCAGGGTCTGGACGACTACTCGTGCGCTTTCCCCAACTGGGTCATCTGCATGCGTCAGTCACTTTACTTTTCTTTTCCCATTTGGTTCTGAAACCCGGTTCGAAACTTTTGGCGGCCTTTTTTTCCACAGAAAGGTCACAAATATGAACTTTATGGGTAAGGGTTCCGAAAGATTCTCGTTAGTTCCGACCCATTCATGAAAGGGCTGTCACTTTTCCCATTTAAGTTTGAAACACGGATCGAAGTTTTTAGAGACTCCTTGTCGGACAAACATAAGCTCCTGGATATAATTCACAAAGTTTTTATAATGCTGGTTTGGAATCCCTGGTCGGAGCTTAGAGTGAGTCCACGACCTGGAAATCAGAAATTATCGAATTAATTTGGACAGTCTTGTGATTCAATTTGATCAACCGTTGAGTTTTTGAGACCACAAAACGACAGGAACTGCTATCATAGTGAATAATTGCAATTATTTTAATTTTTTGAGATTATTTCATTTTTTGATCTCATAAATTTGTATTATGATATTTGGAGTGATTTTTATACGAATTGTGTAAAGATTACTTACTTGTTTATTCAGAGTTTTATGGGTTTGGTTTTTTTCTGAGCTATAATCATGTTTTTATAACTGCTAAACGCATGCTTAATTTTACTATTTGTAGCTAATGTCGCACTTCAATGAATGGAAAAGTTCTAAATCACAGTTTATTTTAGATTTACAGTTTTTTGTGAATTAGGTGTTTGTTTTTATTCCGATTTTCGAAGAAATTGAGAAATATATATGCTCGAAGAATTTTTTAAAATTTTTTCTAACTGCGGCAATTGTCTAACTGAGATCTTTCGACGTGTAGATCGCAACGTGTATGCCCTCAACATGGAGGCGTGGAACTCTGCTTTGATGTATGGGCTGAGCTTGCCGGAGGACGGGACCTGTCAGCTGGATTGGACTACCCAGAACTACTACCAGCTGACCATGATGGAAGAGAAGCGACTGGCAGCGAACACTACACATGCACATCACCTCGCCGAAAATTACCTGGGTAAGTTAACTCATCAAGCATCGATTCCCACGTTTCCTATAAGCAGTTATTCATGTTTTATAAAGACTTCGGGACAATTTTTTGACAAACTGAGCTTGAATTTGAAAGGAATTTTTGTATGATTATTTACTTGAGGGCAAACTATAGTTTGTAACGAAAAAGTTGATCCCATTTGTACCAAAAACTTTCATCTATAATTCTTTCAAAGGTTGTTGAGCCAGTCAAATTTTTATTATTTAATTTTTAACAGAGGATGGATGAAAGAAATTTATTTCAGAAAAAAGGATACTTATCCTATATGGCCTTGTTTGGTTTTTGGTCATTTCGCAAAAACCATAGCGCTCCGCTGCCTTATACAACTAGCCTTTCACGGAAGCGTCAAAAAATAGTCTGTTTGAGCGTTTTTGCATTTAACGCGACTAATTTTCTCGCGAACAAATAATGTGATTGATTTTTGGTACCTAAAATCCCACCTACTTTTTGAAGCCAAAAATTGGATAGACTTCAGGCTGAATCCGGAGAAGTTAACTGGTCCGACTTTAATGTTTTTTTTTTCAAAACAAACGTTTTGAAAAATGTCGGCATTGTTTGATGTGGTTTTTAGAATCGTTCCTTCTAAACTAATTTTTGTGTTTCAGAAATTCTCAACAATGACGCCATAAAGTCTCCATCTTGTCCTCAATAGAAGATCAAGAGTTGGAAGCGCCATCTTGTCGCCGTTTTGTCGTCGCCATCTTGTCAAGAATCGGATCTCTACCAAAAACTTTCACTTAACTGACTCACAATAAGTGATCGCGATTTAAATTTAGTTTTGATGCCAATTAAGTGCCCTTTGGACATAGACTTTTCAGGTTTTGATCGACCAATTATGAAGTGTGAATTGATCCAAACTTTTTGATCATTTGTACAGAACTAAACATTCATTTGAAAGAAAATTTTACGCAATTTTTTTTTACTAACGTAGAATCTTTTTTATCTAAACCAAAGCAATGATCTCGTTATTTTAGTGAGCGACCTTTTTTGTATGTTTTCAAGCCAATAATCACTTAAAAAAACAAGGATAGCAGGTTACTGTGGAAGTAGCACAGAATGTTCTGACCATGGTCTTTCGAAAACTCTGGTTTAGAAAGTTTTTTTTTTTTCAAAATTGGTGTATTTTTTTCTGCTTGGTGTGATAAAAGGATCTGACGTAAAAGTATAATTTTGACATATTAGGCAGTCATAGTATTATAGGCAAATTGGACCAAAATTTTTGTAGAAAAAAGAGTAAAAAAAACTTATAAAATTTTTTTTAAAAAAATTAAATGTTTTTTTAGTGTAAATCAAAACTAAGTTACTTTATTGAAAAATTAAAGTACTTATTAAATATTTCTGAGGAAGAGCTTTGGTTTAAACCTATTTTGAGGTTAAATATAAAAGATAACTTTACTGAATTTAACTTTCTTAATTCTCAGTTTTAGAGTATGACGAAAAACTTTTATAAATCTTTTTTTTTTCTCATCGAATAAGAGTTCTTTTTCAGTAAATAATTTTTCACCCGAATTATGATTTAGAAAAACTTTCTAAAACATAAGAGTAGAGCACTCTAGAAAAACTTTTAGATCCTAAATCAAGCATTTTAACCATCTACTCATCTTAAACTGCTTCTTAATCATCATTGAATCTCCTTTAACTTTCTTAATTCCCAGTTTTAGAGTTTGACCAAAAACTTCTATAAATCTTTTTATACCTTATCGAATAAGAGCTCTTTTTCAGCGGTTGGTGTGTTTTTATTCTCCATTTTGAGCGTTTTTCAATTATCATAAGAGGCCTGATTCTTTTGAATGGTCAGTCAAATCATAAAACAGCTGAGACTGCACATTGATTCTGCATAGAATACGACAAGCGGCGCGAAAATAATTTTCAACTCGACTTAATTATCAAGAAAACTTTTTCAAAAGGTAACAGTAGAGCACTATCAAGAAGCTTTTATATCATAAATCAAGCGTTTCAAGCATCTACAAAAATGAAAAATACTGCTTAATCGTCATCGAAAGTTTAGAAGTAAGAAAATGCAAAAAAAAACGTGAATGACAAGGAGACAGGTCTGATCCAGACAATGAACTTAATAGAAAGTTAAGAGCGACATTAAAACAAACAAAGCGGGAGTAAAACACTAAATAGAAAAAGAATTAGCTGATTAATGAATCAAAAAATTTATTACAGCAGTTACTCATATTTTCGTTCAATTTATTGGCAAGCAAGTTGTCAGCCAATTTTTTGTTTACCGCAAAAATGCCTTCGTTTTGATTGCTGGGCTTGTTTTTAATTTCACTAGATAAGACTTATCTCTTTGTCATTGATCATGGAATTGTTTCTGAAATTAGGCTCGTTTTTGAAGTTAAGATTTTTCTAAGCCACCTTACGTTAAGTTGTTTTAAGCTACCCTAAATGAAAATGTATGTCCGAAAGCGATACAATCAAATTAAGGACCAAGTTTCATCTTCCTCCTAAAGTGATTAAGGAGGAGCACTTTAACTTGTTTCTAAAAAAGATTTTTTAGCCAATCAAATCAAGCAACTCACACATGCTGCGCTGACCAATTTTTATATAAATTGAATATTATGGAGAAAGATCCTAAATTGTTCTAGCTGAGGGGAGGATATTAATGTGATCCCAAACCAACAGCTGTAAGTAATTTGATTGAATTTATTTCAGCTCTTAAAAAACCTGGATTGCTCACGGAATCCTGGATTGATCACAAAGTGTTATGAAAATTTTTAAACAAAATTAATCATTGAAAGTTTTTTCTAGTGCTAAAAACTACCACTAGCAATCTTTGAAGAAATTTTTAAAATCAATTCAAAATTGACATAGTGTTCATCTAAAAATGCCAGTTACCACTTCGATCCAAATAATTTGTATAGTTTTACCCTTTTTGTGATAAATTGTTTAAGCGAACTTCTGAAAATATCTTTGATTGTTTTATCATTTTATGGAAACACAAATTTATTCAAAACTCCTTTTAGTGGAACATTTTCAAGTGAAAAAATCAAAGACGATTGACGAAAGAAAACCTTGATCAGATTACAGCACACCTACTGGAAATAAAGTTCAAAAACCAATTACCCGTTTCGAAAACCAAGATAAAAACGTAAGATGTGCGAGGGCTGTTATTTTCCGAAGTCAAGAAATCAGAATGAATCTGAACAAAATAAAAATCTCACATTAAGCCAATCCTGAAAACGAAATTCTCTATTGAATTCAAAAAGTGATCCATATTCATTAAGTGTACAACTTCAAATCTACTGGAAATTTAAGTTATTGAAACCAAATACTCGGATAGTTGGCTTGCCTGAAAAGATATTTTATATTGTAAATAACAGACAAACATTCAAATCGAATAAAAAAATGAGGACAAAACTAGTCTACCAGTGATAATTTATGGACATTGAAGACAGACGATTATTTCAATTCCCTCTAGGAAAAACTTGATAATACGTACAGTTTGCACATGCTTTACTCGACGAAGCCCTCGGCCCCAAAAAGGATATCCCAACTGTTAGAAATTGAGTTTTGCTTATAGTTTTTTTAAAACCCGATTTTCCTTTTCTCTCTATCTCTTTCTCTCTTTCTATCCTCACTCGTTCTCTATCTATCTTATCTATCTATCCATTTATCTATCTATCTAGCTCTTTCTTTCCTAAATTTTCAAGGCAGGGCCTAAGCAGAGATTCTAACAAACACACTGTGAAGGTGGTTCTTTTTTGTTTCAGTTTGTCAAGTAATATTGAACAATTTTGAAAAAAAACTCTTGATCTTCCAGGTTGCATTCTATCGTTTTGTCACTATATTCAATTATGAATTAGTTTAAAATACTGCTTAGCCAACTGGTAGTGATAAACTTTTAAACTAAACTACCTTTGTGATAAACTTTTAAAACAAAAGGTCGAGTGAGAAGCTCAATGCGGGCTGCTTTCTTAGAATGTGAAAAGATCACGATGAACAAAAAAAACTGAAAACAGTCCTTTTTGCTATCATTGAATTTTTGACACAATAGGATGCAATTTGACTAATTGTAATAAAATGCTAACCGAAAAAGCGGTGAAGAAGAAAAACAGACTTATTCAAACGAAAGTATATAAATTTTAAAAAGTATTTCAATTTATCATTTAGGCTTTCGATGAAAATGATGAAATTTTTATGCCACGTGTCTTTTTTGCCATATTCATTTTTTTGCCTCATTCAAATTTGTGGACCTTGTGTTTACACTTTGAGTAAAATTAGATTATATACACTTTTATGAAATTTAAACTATGAAATTTAAATCTTAAACAATGAGAAATAGTTTTTGTGATGACTGAAAGTTGTCTAAAAATTACCAATTTGACTTTGAAATGATGAATGTGTGCAGTTTTCTATCAAGTTTCTATTTTTATTATTAATTACATTGCAAGTTGAATGCACAAATGTCGCATTATTATACGCTAGGCGAAATCGCGCGTTGGAAGGAGAAAAATTTCGAAAAAAAACGAGATTTTCAAAATTTTTAGCTTAAGAGAAGAAGATTCCCCTAAGCATGCTTTTACAAATTTTTTAAAGACTCAATCAAAGACAGTTGAAGTATGTACAGATTATTCTCTTTATTTACTACCAGAAGTTTGCAAAAAATATAATAAAGATAAAAATTAATTTAAGAATATCCCAGTAAAAAAAATTTTTTCATGAGAAAACTTCTTCAGTCTCGTTATAAAACAATCGAAAATCGCTGGGATAGGTTCTGATATAAAAAGATTTTTACTTAAAATTACTTATCTTTCTTTATGATTGTTACGTATCTATCGACATTGTGATCACTCCTTTTTAAAATAAGTTATTTAGTTCTTTAATTTTTGCTTTCTAAACCACTTTTGTTACCATCGGATTCATTTTTAACAAGTGACATCTTGTTTTTTTTAAATTCATCTGGTTTTCAATAGGCCACAAAATGATTTATGCCTGTAAAATTCATGTTGATACCGTACCGCTTATTTTTATGTGCCATCTGTTTTGCATTACAACTTTGAGGCATGTTGTTTTTGATGGGCCTCTAAATGATACAGGGTAATTTGATGCCATTCAAGCCAATCCATATAAGCACAATGCTTCACTTTCTCAGCTTACTTTAATTTGGTACAAAAATTGGTGCACAAATTTGACACCAAAATATGAAAACATGTTTTCAGTAAATTTTGGAAGAAATCACCACTGCGTTTGTCAAATCGAAATTGAACTGATTTTTAGAGTGTCTGAAGTCGTGTTACGACAACTAGCTACAAAAGACAACACTCAAGTACAGACAAAACTGATTCGCGCTCATTTTTCAACTTGTGCCGGTGGGTAATTGCTGATGTTCGGGTCGATTTATATAAAAACTCAGCGCAAATTAACACCAACAGTTTTTGTCGAAACAGCTCATCCTAAAGCTGAAGTTTATTTGTTTTTAGAGAAAACGACACCAATAAAAGCCAGTACGTCATTCTTCTGAAAAAATTGAAACATTAAGCTTTGGAATTTACTTTTATAGTTGTTCTTTTTTTGATGAACTTTTTCATTAATTAGTTTTTCTGAGATCAATTTTTTTCCTGAAGTGGTTTTAATTCCATCCCAATAACAAAGATGTTTTTGAGCTCTAGAACCGCTTCTACGTTGATCGAAAAAATATGAGTATCATTTATTATTAGTATCGGAATTTCGTTGACCAAAATTTTTTCAATGCATTGATCTCAGACTTTGCCCTTAAACAGGGAAATCAACTTGCAACTAATTAATGAAGTTCGTTTTTTTTTCAATTGAATTTAAAAAAAAACCTTTATGATGGATTTTTTCCCAATTTATAATGTGTTTAGCATCGAGCGACTGTTTGCAACAATTTCTACCGAAAGCAAATCTCGTTTCAGTTGACTAACTAGTCTAATGCTAAAAAAGGT